CATGCTGCGTGTTTGCTCAAAAATGGTTCCATTCTGGGTGAAGAAGCTTCTTTACACAGCTTTTTGAACATGTTGAACCGCTATCTAACGGATTCCCGTGCTTTGCCTCCTTCTGAACCACTTTCTAGAAGCTTCATCAAAAGCATCAGGAACCCAAAGACGCAAAAACTCGTTAACGATCTACTGACTCCCATCTCATCTGATTTCTCTCTAGTGAACTTAGTTCTTGAATCATGTTTTGGGCCGTCTCTCTTACCACCTCAATCTTCTGAAAGAGTAACAGACATTGTAGATTTCGCCGAAGCACTGATGGAGATGAGGCCAGGGAATTATCAGCTAGCACTCTGTATCTGCAAGACGTATTCAGGAGTGAATGCCAGCATTAGTTTCTGGGCAAGTGCGGTTTTGATGGATTCTCTGTTTCAGGCGGTTCCAGTTGCACCGGAATCTGTATGGGTGGAGGCAGCCGGTATGTTAAAAAGATTAGCAGATTTTACGTCTATGTTGGAGAGTTTTCACAAAAGGGCGTTATCGGTTTACCCTTATTCAATGAGACTGTGGAAATCATATGTGGGGTTATATGGTAATAATAGTGATGAGGTAAATAGAGTGATGGAAATGGCTAGAAAAAAGGGTATAAAGCTTTTGATTGACCAAATAGGAGGTTGGTTGTAGATAAACCAAATTTTGCAGCAAATATTGTGTATTTTTGTTTTGATAGAAGAAAAAGAAAGAGATAAGTATAAAAATACATGATGATGAATAGAAATAGGCACTGTATGCAAATGGCTGCAGTTGCTTTACAAGCTACTTTTAACTCATTGGCATTTTTTATTTTAATACTACTTGTTTTGTGATTGGTTGATTTTCTTGTTTTCATTTAGTTCTTATTTTGAAGATATTTTGAACCAATACTTTTAGTACACGTACACACACGGTTGGATTCGTATATGTCAAAATAAAAAAACATGACAACACTTATATCACATGTTAAAAGCACACAATGACGTCAATTTTGAAAAAAAAAATGGTTTATATGTCTTGTTTAGCCAAATTTGCTTCACCTTTCAGTGTAGTATGACTTACCGGTTTGTTTTTTGGTTGGAGGGTATTTTCATATTTTGTATCCTTGTCGTGATTGGTTGGTTATCGAAATGTTGAAGTGGCATGCCTTCATTGGAAATCTAATTGGACATGTTGAGACCAATTTGCATTTGATATGCTTATGTCTCGTGTCTTATCATACTGGAGCAAGATTTTTTCACGTATTCTTTCAACGCGGAATTTTCTGACCTTGTTAACCTTTTTTAACCCCCTCAACCAATACAAAACCAAATATTTCCCAAATCGAAGGTTTAAGGTTGTGATTGGTGATAATAGTGTAATTTTGAGTTGCCGTATATGTGGTGGTAAAAGTATTGATGTTGTTAGCACTTTGATTTGAAGACATTTTAAAATACAAAATTACAAGAACATTGAAAACGATACGAAAATTTTAAAAATGATACGAAATTAATGAGAATTTTAAAACAGATACAAGAATTTTAGGAATGAAACTAAAATTACGAGATTATAAAAATGAGTACTAAAATTCTAAGATTGAAAAATCGGTATGAAAATAATGAGATCACAAAACTTGAGAATTGAACACGAAACTTAAAGAGCTTTTTTGTACAACAATATCATAAATTAAAAAAACTTTACGATTCAAGAATCGAGAGAGAGAGAGAGAGACGTCTTGATAGATGAAAGCTTTTTGAGTGTGAAAAAGATACCTATTTATATTTGTACTTGTACTAACTCACCTTAAATCTCTTTCCTAAAATCACCCCTCAAACTTCAAGATTTTAAGGATAAAATAGTCAAATTACAATAAAACAAAATAACGATTACTTTAAGTGTTAGAGAAGCAAAACACGACATCCTTGAGGAAGGAAAAACGGTCACACAAATAGCCGTTGGCAACTTTTTTTTTGGCATAAAAGATATTTTTTGGACGGCACTTAGATCCAGGTCTTTTCAAACCTCCAACGGCTAGTTTGATAGGCTTTAACGAGGCTTATCTTCTAAGCCTTGATCAGGACCGGGTTTAAAAATAAAAATCAGGGTTAACTTGATTTTGTGCGGGCCAAATTTAGCCTGATCTGGCTTGCACGCAGGGTTTAGGGCTCTTTGGTGGACAATACCTAGGTCTGTAAACGAATTGAACGTTCAGCCATTCGGCTGGGAGTTTGTTTATGTTCGTTTATTTATACTATATTATAAAACATTTGACAAAAACTCTTAAAAATCATTTTTAATGCATGAAGTACTGTTTATTGATGTATATTACTTAAAATTTAAGATTACAAGTAAATTGTACGTAACTACAACTTATGAAAGCTTTATGTTTGAATTCATTTAACTAATTGCAGATAAACATAATTAAATACATGATAAACATCTCATTTTAATTATAAAAAATCTAAAATATAATTAGAATAATCATTGAGTTCTAATAGAATACTTAGTTATTATCTTTAAAAAATTATATTATTATACCAAAAATAAATACATTTTTTGTTATTAAACTTAAAAAATTATATTATTATAACCAAAAATTGTATTATGTTATTTTTTCAAAATTTTATGATATATTAAAATTTTTATTTTATTTAAAAGTAAAAACATTATCGTTTTCTTAAAACCACATAAAATCGTATTCTGACATCGATAGAGATAAGAATAAACGAAACATTAAGATCAATATGTATCTCGCTGCATTGTACGAGTATTTTTCTAATTTAATAAATGAACGAACATAATTTTTTTTTGTTTAAATGAACATGAACAAATGTCTTGTTCGTTCATTTACGTTCGTTCTTTTATATTCATGAATGTTCGTTTAATATATAAATATACTAGAATGGTACTCGCACAATGTAACGAGATACATCTTGATTTTAATGTTTTGTTTTATATTTTGGGTCTATCGATGTTATAATGCGATTTTATGTGGTTTTGAGAAAAAAAAATGTTTTTATTTTTGAATGAAATATAAATTTGAAGATATTATAAAAAAATTTAAAAAAATAAGCGATATTATTATCAAATTAACTATCTAAAATAGTTAATTCGATTTTTTTATTATAATTTAATTGAAGTTTAAAAACGAATTAATTTATTTTTGATTTAATAAAACAAAATTTTAAAATAATAATTAAATATTCTGTTAGAATTCAATAATTATCTTAATTATATTTTAGATATTCTATAATTAAAATGAGATATTTATCCTTTAAGATTATGTTTATTTACAGTTAGTTACACAAATTCAAACATGAAACTTTAATAAGTTGTACTTACGTATAATTTACTTGTAGTGTTGAATTTTAAGTAATGTATATTAATAAACAGTAGTTTATGCATAAAAAATAGTTTTTAAGAATTTTTATCAAATACTTTATAATATAGTATAGATCTATATAAACTTTTATTTACATATAAAAGAATTTTAAATGTTAAAACTTAGTCCATAAAAAAATTAAAGATATTTTTAAGCTAATCCAACGATTTGTTTAAATCAGTCCATTTCTTCATTATAGATTTATCTTCTTTAATTTGTTTCCAATCAAAGTAACCGAATCCAATCTCACGCCTCACCCTCAAACCTCGTTCCGTACAGCAACTCAGCAATCGCCAGCGTGAAGAAGAAACCCTAATCGGTCGCTCACTCAGTCACTTGCTCTCATCTACTGATCGTCTTCCAACAACGGGTTTGAATTCGATTATTTTTATGTTTTAACTTTTAACTTCTCCGTTTATTTTGATGTTTTACCTTCACTCATGCTTAGTCACTCGTTCTCATCAATTTAAGAAACCACAGGTGATATTTTCGTTGAAGGAATGTCTAAACCAACCATTTTCGTGATAGTTTAGGTTAAATTTTAGATGATATTTTCTGTTTGTTTGTGTTAAATTTTAGGTGAAATTTTAGATTGTAGATCCTTCATTAATTTAGGTGAAATATACTGATGTACTGGACATCATTTGTTGTATGTGTTTTTCAAGAAGGCAATGGGGATTAGGTTTTTATTCAGGAGGGGATGTAGTTTTCCATCTATCTATAATTGCACTAATATACACGTGAAATTGAATAATTTTTGCCTCTTATAGTATATGATATCTGTAGTATATGCCTTAAAGTCGACACCCTTTGGCGGTTTTTGGCCGGTCTCTCTTTTGTAATAAGCTATGGTAATTGATTCAATTCGTCATGGTGCCTTGTATATGGATTCTATATTTGAGTGGACATCTTGAGGTCTATTCATGTTCATGTTTTAGCATAAATCTGACCTTCTGTCACATATTAGAATATGCCATTGAGAACATAATTGGGAACATCGTAAAATGTGTTCTGTCAAACGCATTGTGCGTGATATTAAGAAAAATGCAGATATTCTGACAAATGTTGTGAAGCAAAATATGGATAGCTTAATTGGATGAGCACATAGAGGTCTTGAAGTAGTAAACATGTTTGATTTGGACGAAATAGAAAGGGATTTGATTCATGTCGATTCAATAGTTTTGTTAATTTATAGTATTCGCTTCTCTGAAGCATAACTTTCATCTTATGTTTCTGGTTTTAGTGCTTGTTATTTGCCTCGTTTTAGCAGTTTTCTTTTGTTCCTTATTAGCTTTGCAATCAGCACTACTCTTTTTGTTAGTATGAGAAAAGAAAGGTTATGTCGGAGAGAAGCAAATCAATGGTTCTACCTTAATTGATTCCATATAAAAAATATATTACCTTGCTTTATTTATTTTTATATTTTAGTTGATATTAAAACTCTTGAGGTTGCATGCTTTGGATATACTAACTTGCGGTTGATATTAGAGAATATATATAACCTATTGTTGGAACACATACACATACACACTTAAATGGCAATTTACATAATTTACAAAGGTTATCATTAAAGGAGATTTTGTCCAACTTATCTGATCTGATTCTTGTAAACTACTTATTGTTTCTAGTAGTCCTAAACATGTCTGATGTCAATATTAAGTTTCTGTTGCTTTGATTCTTATGACCGTGTATATTATTTGTATATAGGAACCATGGGCAGTGTGGATGAAGGGAAACTTAGGTTCTGTATAGACAGAGGAGGCACGTTCACTGATGTCTATGCTGAAATTCCTGGTCAATCTGACGGCAAAGTAATGAAGTTGTTGTCCGTTGATCCATCCAACTATGAAGATGCTCCTGTTGAAGGAATCAGGAGGATTTTGGAAGAATTTACTGGGAATCGGATTCCTAGGACTTCAAAAGTCCCTACTGATAAGATTGAGTGGATTAGAATGGGAACTACTGTTGCAACAAATGCACTTTTAGAGAGAAAAGGGGAGAGAATTGCATTGTGTGTGACCCGAGGATTTAGGGATTTACTGCAGATTGGGAACCAGGCTCGCCCAAATATTTTTGACCTTACTGTGTTAAAGCCTTCTAATCTTTATGAGGAGGTTATAGAAGTTGATGAGAGAATTGAGCTTGTTCTTAAGCAGGATTCAGAGATACATGAACCGGAATCTGCTGGGTCAAATGTAGTTATGGGAATTTCAGGTGAGCAGGTCAGGATTGTGAAGGCTGTTGATGAAGCAACTTTAAGACCTTTACTTAAAGGTCTCTTGGATAAAGGAATCAAGTGTTTAGCAGTTGTGTTGATGCATTCTTATACATATCCACATCATGAGCTTGCTGTAAACAAGTTGGCTATAAGCATGGGGTTCAAGCATGTTTCATTATCTTCTTCTCTGACTCCTATGGTTCGAGCTGTTCCTAGAGGTCTCACAGCTAGCGTGGATGCATACTTGACTCCGGTTATCAAAGAGTACTTGTCAGGATTCATTTCTAAATTTGATGATCTAGGAAGGGTGAATGTTCTTTTTATGCAATCAGATGGAGGTCTTGCTCCGGAAAGTAGATTCTCAGGCCACAAAGCAGTGTTGTCAGGTCCTGCAGGCGGTGTTGTCGGTTACTCTCAGACACTTTTTGGGCTGGAGACCAACAAACCCCTCATTGGTTTTGACATGGGTGGCACATCTACTGATGTGAGCCGATATGCTGGAAGCTACGAACAAGTTCTTGAAACACAGATAGCTGGAGCTATAATCCAAGCACCTCAGCTTGACATCAACACTGTAGCTGCTGGTGGAGGTTCAAAGCTGAAGTTTCAGTTTGGAGCATTCCGAGTTGGGCCAGAATCTGTAGGTGCACATCCAGGTCCAGTATGCTATCGAAAAGGAGGGGAGTTGGCTGTCACGGATGCGAATCTTATTTTGGGCTACGTGATTCCTGACTATTTTCCCTCGATATTTGGTCCGAATGAAGATCAACCTTTGGATATCAACAAAACTAGAGAAGAATTTGGGAAACTTGCAAAGCAAATTAATTCTTATAGAAACAGCCATGATCCATTAGCAAAGGAAATGTCAGTGGAGGAGATTGCACAGGGGTTTGTGAATGTTGCTAATGAGACAATGTGTCGTCCTATTCGACAACTGACTGAGATGAAAGGTCATGAGACCAAGAATCATGCTCTTGCCTGCTTTGGAGGTGCAGGACCACAACATGCTTGTGCCATTGCACGGTCACTGGGTATGAATGAGGTATTAGTGCACAGATTTTGTGGGATCCTAAGTGCATATGGGATGGGATTGGCAGATGTTATTGAAGAAGCACAAGAGCCTTATTCTGTAGCTTATGGTCCTGAATCTGTGGTAGAAGCTTCACGCAGAGAATCTCTGTTACTGAAGCAGGTAAAGCAAAAACTTATAGACCAAGGGTTTGGAGAAAGTAGTATTACAACTGAATCATACTTAAATTTGAGGTATGAAGGGACTGATACTGCTATAATGGTGAAGGGGAAGAGAAATGAAGATGGATCAGGAAGTGATTATGCTATTGAATTTGTTAAGTTGTTTGAGCAGGAATATGGATTCAAGCTTGAAAACAGAAATATCCTGATATGTGATGTAAGGGTTCGTGGTATTGGAGTGACGAATATTTTAAAGCCAAGAGCCACAAAAAGTTCGTCTGGTACCCCTAAAGCTCAAGGGGAATATGAGGTCTACTTTGGAAATGGATGGCATAAAACACCTCTCTTCAAACTTGAGGACTTGGAATATGGTCATCTCATATCTGGTCCTGCAGTTATTATGAATGGTAACAGCACAGTCATAGTTGAACCCAACTGTAAAGCTATAATTACCAAATATGGAAACATAAAAATTGAACTTGAGTCGAGTTTAGTCAGTGTGAAAGTGTCGGAAAAGGTTGCAGATGTTGTGCAGCTATCTATATTCAATCACAGGTTCATGGGTATAGCTGAACAGATGGGTCGGACATTGCAGAGAACTTCCATATCCACAAATATCAAAGAAAGGCTAGACTTTTCTTGTGCTTTATTTGACCCTGACGGAGGCTTAGTGGCTAATGCCCCTCATGTTCCCGTTCACTTGGGAGCTATGTCTAGCACGGTGCAGTGGCAACTCAAATATTGGGGACAAAATCTGAATGAAGGAGATGTACTGGTCACGAATCATCCTTGTTCTGGTGGTAGCCATTTGCCTGATATCACTGTTATTACGCCTGTTTTTGATAACGGGAAATTGGTTTTTTTTGTTGCTAGTAGAGGGCATCATGCAGAGATAGGAGGAATCACTCCAGGAAGTATGCCACCATTCTCAAAGTCCATATGGGAGGAAGGAGCTGCTATAAAAGCATTCAAACTAGTCGAAAGAGGAATCTTTCAAGAAGAGGGAATCACTAAGCTTCTTCGATTCCCAAGTTCTGATGAGTCATCTCATAAGATACCCGGAACACGTAGACTTCAAGACAATCTATCAGATCTTCATGCCCAAGTAGCTGCAAATCAGAGAGGAATTGTTCTTATTAAGGAGCTTATTGAGCACTATGGCTTGGAGATGGTTCAGGCTTACATGACGTATGTTCAGCAAAATGCAGAAGAAGCAGTGAGAGAAATGCTAAAGTCTATCCCTGCCAAAGTTTCTTCAGAGTCTGTTGATTCTCTTACCATTGAAGAAGAAGATTACATGGATGATGGTTCATTAATACATTTGAAGCTTACTATAGATTCTAAGAAAGGAGAAGCATTTTTTGATTTCTCTGGGACGAGTCCTGAAGTTTATGGGAACTGGAATTCTCCAGAAGCTGTGACAAAAGCTGCGGTTATTTACTGTCTTCGCTGTTTGGTTGATGTTGATATTCCTCTCAATCAAGGCTGCTTGGCCCCTGTTAAAATCTATATACCCCCTGGATCGTTCCTCTCTCCTAGTGATAAAGCTGCTGTTGTGGGAGGTAATGTTCTCACCTCACAGAGGATAACAGATGTTGTACTTATGGCATTTCAAGCTTGTGCTTGTTCTCAGGGTTGCATGAACAATCTTACTTTTGGTGATGACACTTTTGGTTACTACGAGACAATTGCTGGAGGAAGTGGGGCCGGTCCTACATGGGATGGAACAAGTGGGGTCCAATGCCACATGACTAATACTCGCATGACCGATCCAGAGATTTTTGAACAGAGGTATCCTGTTCTTTTGCATAGGTTTGGGTTAAGAGAGAAGAGTGGAGGTGGTGGAATCCATAGAGGTGGTGATGGGCTGATTAGGGAGATAGAGTTCAGGCGGCCGATGGTTGTGAGCATTCTTTCAGAGAGACGTGTCCATGCACCCAAGGGGCTCAAGGGAGGAAAAGATGGGGCCCGTGGGGTTAATTATCTTCTAAGGAAAGATAAACGCCGGGTTTATCTTGGAGGTAAAAACACTATCAAGATGGAAGCAGGAGAAATTCTTCAGATTCTTACTCCTGGTGGAGGTGGATGGGGTTGCATTTGATTCTCATTTTTAGGTATGGATAATGCTTATTCATATTCATATACATACCAATATGAATAATGAATTGAATAGTGCTTTCTCGTATGCTTTTCATTAGACTAGTTTATATGGGTAGAAGATTACAAGAGAAGATAAAGGAAACTAAATCAAGCAAAATAAGGAAAGATGAGAGCTAAATCTCTCAATTTAAGGGATTCCAACTAGTTCTATTATAAATTAGTCTAAAGATCTACACTTGTGCACATAGAAATGTATACCTCTTTTTTTGCTCATTATTTGTTGACAATATCTGATTGTTGTAACCTTTCATTCTTGTTTACTCATGTTTTCGATTTATGTGCTTGTAGAAGTATACTTGTTCCAATTATAAGGCTTAAAGTCAAGCATTTAAGTAGTCTTGTTGGATTTGTTCCACTTCTGGTTGTTGATTCTTTATGATTTTACAAAAAAAATAAGTGTATGTTAAATGGAGATTGCAAGATCAGGGTCAAACGAATTATATAAGAATGTTATTGGTTGATGTGTATATATACTGTTTGTTTGGGTGGAAATTGTTGTAATAAGGTTTCTTATATAATAGCAGGGTATATATATATATATATATATATATATGATTGTCAGAAAGTTTATGAGCATTCACTAAGCAACATTTTTCAATAGACACCTCCTACATGTGTTGCAATAGAGGCCTTTTCACTCGGTACAAGCATGTGTAGTGACCGGTGATTATTTACTTCCCAATCCCCATACACACTCATAGGCACTTGCAGAGTGTTTTTCGGACTATCTATTCTAACTAATATATCTTGGTCTTTATTGATCTAATTGTTCCCTAAAGTGTAGGTTAGGGTTCTTGTTTCTTTGCCCCAGTTTGTAGAATTATTATTGGATGATATCAAGTAATTGAACTAATAGTAGCAAATTATGTAATGCAACTACCTTTAAATATGGTTTTCTGATATACTTACTACTCTTCACCTTTAACTGATAACCTCTATACCTCTTGGGGTAGAGGAACATCTGATACATCTTACCCTCTCTGGACCCCACTTCTTGTGGGATTCATTGGATTTGTTTACTTCTATATGAGATATCTCAAGTATTTTTACAAGTCAAAACTCAATCTTTTATCAAATTTGATCATTTTTTTTAGACATATATGAAGTGGTTTAGGTTAGGGGTGTGCAGAAAATCAACCGATCCAATTGAAACTGACTGATCCAATTAGATCGGACTGACCATAATTGAATATCCAATTGTAATTGCATCGGATGGGATTGAAAATTTCAACATCCAATTTGGATAGGTTCTCGGATGTCAGTCCAGAACCGACCAAAACCGAACCGAACCGATCAACATCCAATTACCCATCCAATTAATCATCCGATGACCATCCAGTTGTCCATCCAACCATTATCCAACTATCATCCAATTAATTTATTTTCAAATTGCTTAAATCGGAATTTGTTTTATGTGAGGCTTTGAATTTTTAACCTCCCTTGTGTTGGTTTTAACACACATTAAAAGTGATTAATCAATTTGTATCATTGTTGGAGAATTGGATTGAATTAACACACTGGATGGATCTAATCCCAACGGATCATCCATTGGATATCCAATAAAAGTATCCAGTGGATGGAACCGAACCGATCCAATCATCCATTGGATTGGATCGGTTGGCAAAATCCAACATTCAATGGATAATTGGATTGGTTCGGTTCCCCTCACATCCAATGGATGTCAACCGATGAACAGCCTTAGTTCGGCTTATATATATTATCAATAGGACTAAGATCCATCAATGCTCTATTATCCAAAATTTAACACAGTGAAAGCAAATGAGTGTCCTCACCAACTTCCCTCCCAACTTTGTTTTTCTTCTAATTCAACTCGATGAACTCTAAAACCCGAGCAAGCGTGGTTCAAATATGTTAATGTAACAATGTGTAAAATTGAACAAGCATAATGGCATTTAAGGTTGTATTAGAAGCTACACATAATCAAGTCTCATAGGATTCAGATGATTTGCTCCTGAAAATGCCTCAAGTGGTTTACTGTTCTCAAATTGTATGATATGAGTGTATTTTAGGCTGTGAAACTCTTCAAATAGATAACCCTGAAACATGGAATTCACTCGTCTCTGTTGAGTGTTCCTTGTGTGTATTTTCTAAGCAAGCTCATGCATTTGCCCTATTTTCTGCCATTATTAGAGTGTGTTCCCTTTTTGCTATATAAAACCACCATAGATGCGACATTCCAGTCTGGCATCTGTTTTTACGTGATTTCTTTTGGTTCTTGTAGGTATGGAGATCTTGATTGGTTGAAGAAAACATAATTCTTGGTCTTAGATGGGAATGGAAGATATCTAATAAGCTAGCTCATTTAATTGTTCGTATGTGTTTATGCTAGTTCAAAGTTATTGACACTGCCTATTTCTTCTATTCATCATCATGTACTTTATACTTCTCTATGCATTTGCACTTTTTCTATCAAAAACCAAGATTAACAACAATGATTATTTGTAGTCCTCACAAGAGGCAACCTCCAAGACTCTTTATGTTCATTTTACAACTTCTTTATGCAGGGAGAGATTAAGCAGCTCGAATAGAATGTCAGTCTGGCTCGAATCAGAGTTTCGCTTTTGGGACACTGAACCTCCCATATAGAATGTCAATTAGTTAGTCTTCATGCTGATCTGCTTTGACGCCTTTTTAGCTTCTCTTTGACTTGACGGGGGTGTTAGGATTATACCAAGAGGAAATCAGGAACATAGGATCAAAGTATAAGTCGGTTTGATCATTTCATATAGGGACACCCGACACATATTACAATCTCAATCGGTCAGTTCAAGTTTTCGGTGTCTTACAACTACAAGAAACTATTTTACCAAGTGTTAGATTGGTATTATCATCAAACCCAAATAGGTGAGATTAACAAATGTGTATGTCTCTTTACAAGAGGTAATAACATACAACACTGTACCATAAAGGAAATTTTGGAAAATGACGGGGCTGTTTACTAGACGCCTACTGGATAAGCTCTTACCTTACTGATTGAGCATGACAACGACTAAGAATTTGAATTTTACCCAGTGAGAGGCATGACAGGGATCGATAGTTTTACCCGGTAACTGAGAGAAACAACTCTTACCAGTTAGCGGGTTTAAGAACTTACCAACGATGCAACTTGATGGCTGATAATGTTACATGATAAGGTAAGTGAGGATGATATCTATGCTTGCTTGATTTATGTGGATTATAAAAGGGAAAGGTTGAATGGTAAATCATTCAATCTCAACTGAGGATATAAATCAATCATAATAAGGATTAAGGACATACATGTTAATACTGCAATCATCTAGTGAACACAAAGATTGCTGACAAGAATCTTCGTGGCGCCTTATGTTAGTTGGGATTATCATTGACTTTGGTCTTTGGTGCTTCAGAATTTTGGTCCTCCATTACTGGACATGTTTACTTGACGGTCCTAACCTCAGGTGACATACAACTTACATGTCTGTTTCAGTCTTCCAGGCAAATGTTGACATGGTTGTATATTTGTATTATTGCTAGCAAACTTGTATGCACAGTTATGCAACATACAATTACCCTTGACCCCACTGAAGACTTGTTGCTTCTTGAAGCAACATTGAGGTCTCAACTGTTTGCAAGGTTAGGAATTAAAACTTCAAAGAAGAATGAATTGGGTCAGAGCATGGATACTGCGGTTGAAAGAGAGGATGGGAAAATAATGGAAGGTGCTGGAAACATGCCATCTCCTGAGACAGAGAAGGACCAACTTAATGATTTTGAAGGTACATGTTATTCGTAGGAGTGAGCTTGAAGTTGGTGTTCTGGTACCTTCTTATGAAGGTTCTGCATTTGTCCCAAAAATGAGTTCACTTCTGAATTCAGATGCTTGAACCAAGTGCTTTTCAAAATTGAAGTTAACAAAGAATTTTTGGTTATTCATCTCCCAGTTGTTTCTATTCTAGTCTCTTTTTGTACTGTCAAATGTTGTTATCAAACTATTTCAAACTAACAAAATAACATTGGCACTTCCAATGTTTTAGAAAGAACTCATTTGATGCAAAATTCAATTATATATTGGGATGTCTGTAGTATCCTCTTGCTGTCATAATTTTAGCGAGATAGCAGCAAAACTAATACCTTAGAGATATAAATCATAACTGATATCTGCTTAACTTCATGGCTTCAAGTTTAAAATAGAAATGATTAACTTAAATTTGAAAAGAACAGACAATCAAGGTCTCCCCTCCAGAATAATAACCAAAAGTAAATAAACCAAATCCTTAGTATTCTGGCACTTCTATTGTTGTCCTTGTTTCTAATACATTATATTTTTCATGCAACAAAAAGATGTCGGGAGGTCAGAGAAAAGGATATCTGAGCATCCTATGGGTATCAAGGACCAGTGCCTTGCTGAGAAGTTTTCTGTTAATAATGGATCTTCTTTGGCTGTGCCAATTCTGAGATGTGCTTTTGGTTATGCAAAGTTCACCTCCGACATGAATTCAATGCCTTCACATACCAAAAACCTGCAGATCCACACTAATGATATATATGATGAAAAGAAAGTCGTTGATGGATGTTTGTGGGGCCACACCTACTGATATAATTTCCAATGCAAATAAAAACTCCTTATTGGACATGTATGTCCCTGAAGTTGGTTCTTGCTCCAACAACTTAGCAATCAACCCCTTTTGGTCTTTTTGCATGTTTGAACTACGTGGTAAATGCAACAATGATGATTGTCGTTGCCAACATCTCAAAGATTATTCATCCAGAACCATTGATTGTAACAACAATGGTATGAACTCCCTGCCCTTTTCTTCCAAAATAAGAATTTTGCTATCTTGAATACTTATAATCACATCATCTATGCAGATAGTGTACTTGGATCATCATTGCAGATCAGAAATGGTGCAACTATTGTTTCTAAGTGCCTTGGTTCTCTTCCTTTGGCTCCACCTACTTATCTTGTGTGCTTGGACAGTTTGAAGGGTGATTCACATCCATATAAATATCTTGTAGCTCAAACTGTTGAACAACGCTGGCAGAAGTATTTTTGTGCTTCCTTGGTTGTTTCAAGTTCAATTCTAGGGGATTTGCACTCAGATGATCCAATCTCTGCATGGCCCTGAAGCCGCATTGAGATCCATGGGGTTTGGAATAGGCAATCATCATTTTCTTCATGGTAAAAATGTCAAAGAGGTCAGTCCACATGCCTCATCGTTCTCGCTTTCTTTCCTTCATTTTTTTTGAGATTTTGGTCTATTGTAAGAGCATCTCTAACGGATTCTCCAAAATTTCTCCAAGATGGAGAACCAAAACTTAAAATCTCTAAAAAGAATTACATTCAACTCCAACAGATTCT